GTAACGGACAGGTGGAACGGTCCAACCGCACAATACTGGACTCATTAACTGCAACAATTAAAGGTGATCATTATGGTTGGGATGAGTATGTGCTCCGAGTTCAAAGAGGTATCAATAATACTGTGAATGCTACCACTGGTTTTGCACCCGGCGAATTGTTATATGGTGTCCGTCCTCAGGTATACAATGAAATTAGAGTTGTTAAGAAGAGGAAGAATTTACATGAAATGCGACGAAAAACTAAAGAAAAATGTGATCTAGTTGCAAATAACATGAAATTGAGATTTGACAAGCACAAGCTGAAGGCCAATAAATATAAGGTCGGAGATACTGTTCTAGTCGAGAGGACATTACTGGTGAAAGGACTTACTAGTGGAAAACTAGTGCCAAGATTTATGGGACCAGTCAAAATTACAGGGGTATTGAGAAATGATCATTACCGAGTTGTTTCTTTGACCAAGGACAAGCGCAGATTCAAAGGCGTGGTAGCTAGCGAGCGTCTAAAGCTCTTCAGGTCCGAGATGGTTCATTTAGAATAATCAAAAAAAATTGTATTATTGTTAGAGTCTTGTGTGCTCAATGTATTGTTAATTAGTTTTAGTCTATTATGTTGATTGTATTCCCGTTTTTCGAAACTGTCGCAAGTTGTTCAAATACTTCAAAATGTCGAAGTTTGTTTTGTTTATGTTGAAGAGAATCGATAGTCCTATTTTTAATGCGTTTCTTTACCGTCATATTTATTGTGAGGTGATAGTAACCGTGTGAGTTACAAAAGCTAGCCCTGTGTGCTGTAGCGTTAACCCTATGAGTTACGAAAACTAGCCCTGTGTGCGATAGTGGTAACCCTGTGTGTTACGGAAACTAGCCCTGTGCGCTGCAGTAATACCCTTATGTATTACAGGAACTAGCCCTGTGTGCTGTATATGGTAGTAGCCCTGTGTGTTACAGCAAGCTCGAGACCCATGAGCTGGCCTATTATAACCCTGAGTGTTATGAGTTCTAGTCATGTGTACTGGAAGTGTTGTGCTCTGTACTATACTCCTGTATGGGTATTATTCTGATGCCTATACCACGCTGTGCCAATAAGGGATTTCTGCCGATGCTTCTGCTGCCAAACCTCAAATGAGACGAGGACGTCTACGGGGCAGGATAGCCGACTGTTACGCAATGCTCTTCTGCGCTCCCCTCTTGGCGCACGATGACGATTGACGACGTGGAAGTACCCGGATCCGAACAAAGTACGAAGCGATCGGCAGTCTACGCGAATCATTCGACGGGGGTTGTATACTTCTCTCGAGCGGGATCAACACGCTATGTTAGCGGAACACAATAGATTCTATATTATTGATTTAATAAAATTTACTTTTGATAACCGACCGTCTACTTAATTAACACTATATATCATTTGCTAATACTAATGTTGTTTGTTTAATTTCAGTTGGACGCAAATTTTCCGGGACGGAAAAATGGTGTCTAGGCCGACTGTAACGACCCCGAAAAAAAGAATAAATAATTAGTCAGCAGCACCAAAAAAGTGGCTAGCGGAATTCGAGGCAAGCAGCTGTCAGTCGAGAGATAATAACGCAAGGGTGATTTGCGTAGGAGACTCGCATATTTGCTCGCATATCGTTCTTTTCCAGTATATTTATTATTAGGTATTTGTTATCTTCGTTGGAATTAGAAATATAAGTACCTATTGTTTGTTGTTCATAGTTTATAGTTTTATTTCAGTTGCAAATTATTTATTTGCATGGTTCAAGAAAACCTATGCTGCCAAACTAAAGACTAGCAGTATCTTGGATTATTCCACTCATGTGTTAAAAATCCCATGAGACAAGTGACAATTTTCAGAATTACAGCGAAAATTCTCTTTTCCATTTGTTTAACTAGAGAGAATTACAGCGATAATTCTCCCATGTTATTGTATGTGTTGTCATGCTAATTTTTGATACAAACAAACGGTAGCTGATAGCAACCATTTATTTGTATTGATTGTTAAGATGTTCAAATCGTTTAATACATATTTATTTCCATATTTTTTGCATTCTCATACGTAAAATAATCCTCTAAATACCACTTGAGCTTCAAAATGAACCAGATAATTTTTCACTCATGCGTCTTTTCTCTGCAAATTTCACTCGTCCTACGGACTCGTGAAATTAAAGAAAACACGCAATCGTGAAAAATTATCGGTAATTTTGAAGCTCTCGTGGTATTATCCCCGAAAGCCTAAAAAAAAAATTGGGGTTTATATTGGAAAATTAATAAATTATAAACCTAAACGACTCTACAGAAATCTATAATTTTTTCTCTTTAAGGCCGCAACAACGATGATAATGCAGTGCTTTGATTGGTTGATTTTTCGAAACTAGTTTTAAGGTCTTTAAAAAAACGGCACATCAGAATTAGCTCAAATTTGGCATAAACATTATTTGATCGATTATCTACAATTCCTTATCTTGGTTTTTCGATATGCAGCCTTTTTTTTTTAAATTGAAAAATCATTTTCGCAGCCACAAAAACAACTAAATGTGGTGGTGGTTGCATATTTGCATGTTTATCAATCTTGGATCCGTGAAAAGCATATTTTATTGATAACCACGAAAAACTAAAAAGAGCTTATTATAAATAATTTTTATGCCAAAGGATTTTGGAAATTATTGCGGATTTTTTGAGATGACCTTAAAACGAATTTTGAAGGTGAAAACAGTTCAAGCGATTTCAAGTAGATGGCGCCACGGCAAAAAAGCTACATTGGGAGCATCATAATTGTATATTTGTCTTTCTCCGACACTAAGTGCGCGTTCACATTGACACCGCTCGAGCGGTGGGCGTTGCGCGATGCCGCTGTAGTGATGCGCAAAAATAATTTTAACATTATATTTCAAATGAACAAGTTCACACTGAGGCGGCATGTCGCGCGGTGTTAACATGTTCATTTGAGATATAATGTTAAAATTATTTTTGGGCATCGCTGCAGCGGCATCGCGCAACGCTCACCGCTCGAGCGGTGTCAATGTGAACGCGCACTAAGTGTTTCACCGACAAACAGATTTTGTTTTGGACAAAAAATAAAATATTGAACCGTATGTGTAGAGTGGCGCAGGCGTCATTTTCAAAAACTAAATTTAAACATGGCGGCCATTAACGCGGCCTTAATGTGTATAGTCAGTAGGTAGGTATGTTACCGATTTTGTTTCCTTCCTATTCAGATAAATAGTGGAGGTCGTCCTTCAACATTATTGCAATACAGTTTTGATAGTAATAGTTATTTATATACAACGGGAATTATGAGGGTGTTAATACCCCAGGGCAAAGTTTGTGTCCCGAGGGCCTCTGGCCACCAGTTGCCCGTGGGTATTAACACCTGATAATTCCCGTGGTACATAGATAATTTTAGATCCTAGAAGCAGGAGTTTTGGATATCCTTAACTCCCGCGCGGGAGTTAAGACCCTGTTTATGATTATCGTTACCAAGGTATTATATAGTTATAATAGTTCACTAGGATATAAATTATTTTATTTACGACTAATGTATAATGTAAGTTGTATTATATTTTTGATTTTGGCAGTATAATGACGTAATATGTTATTCCCCCCGGGAATAATGACGAGTAGCGGGATTAATGGTCATTATGATGATTAATTTGTCGTAAAAAAAGTAGATTATATAACTACTCGCAATAATGGCTATTATTCCCTAGGAATGTCACTCCCTCGCCACTAACGCGGCTCAGTTCGTAAATATTCCTCGGGAATAATAGCTATCATTATTGACTCGTGGTATAATCTTCTATTATATCCTACCATCCAAGGGAGTTAAAGATTTCCATAACTCCCGCTTTTACCTTGAATAGGTAAAACTTTGAGAAATAATAGAAATTTTAATGTATGGTTTATTCCTTTATAAAAATAGACAGAATACAGTAAATTCAGTAGGATATAAAATTATCTAGGTACCACGGGAATTATCAGGTGTTAATGCCCACGGGCAAATGATGTCCCTCGGGACACAAACGTTGCCCTGGGGTATTAACACCCTCATAATTCCCTTGATACATAAATAACTATTATTTTCTACTTTACTATTATAGATCCATAATACCTAGGAAACGAAATACGTTAACACACCTATAACAACCTGATCCATAACGCCCGCTTTTGCGGGCGTTATGATCTATAACGCCCGCTTATAATACCTTAAGGTGTTTTTGTTGTTGTTGTTCTATTAATTTGCACTTTACCCTAGGCAGCCACTAAATGTCTGACCGAAAATAATTTTCGGTCTAGCCAGGATTCGAACCCGGTCTACCATCAATGTTTCCCATGTAGTCCAGCGCGTTAACCCACAGGACCACCACCATTGCCTTGCCTTATGAGATGTTTATAGATATATTAATTTATTTCGTTTCTATGTACAGGTCGCAGGTACAGGTACAGGTCATAGGTGCAGGTACATGTCAAAATACAAAACAATATTCTGTCACACAAGTTTAACTGATTTTGTTAATAACAAATTGATGAAAAAACATTGTGTTGAGTAGAAAATAAAGCATTGTATGCACCACGGGGATTTCAAGATTATAATGCCCTTCAGGCGAAATATATCCCTCGGGCCATAGGCCCTCGGGCTAGTTTCGCCTTCGGGCATTATAATCTACATAATCCCCTTGGTACATAAATAGCTATTATATCACCGCGCGGGAGTTAAGGATATCATAACTCCCGCTTTTACCTTGAATAAGCAGAACTTTGAGAAAAAATAGAAATTTTAGTTTATGGTTTATTCCTTCATAAAAATGGACAAAATAAAGTAAGTATGTTCAGTAGAAAATAAAATTAAGTGTCTATGTACCAAGGGAATTATCAGGTGTTGATACCCACGGGCAATTGGTGTCCCTCGGGCCAAAGGCTTTGCCCTGGGGTATTAACACCCTCATAATTCCCTTGATACATAAATAACTATTATTTCTCACTTTTTCAGCAACTAGTTTACTTACTACTGCAACCACTAACAATGGAGAGATGTCGCTGTTCCTTCTCTTGAATACTTCCCTTAGTTTTTATTTCTTCCACAATATTTTTTTTTGATAATATACCCTTCTTTAAACTAGTGTCGCTCCTTTTTCTTGCCATTTCAGCTGCTTTCATCTTATCAAATTCTTTCACGTAATCTTTATATATATCTTTTAAGCGATTAAGTACAGTTTTAATGTTACTAAAACTCATTAAAGGCATTTCTTCAATAGTACACTCTAAGTACTGGTCTACCAAATCATTTAAATGTTTCATTCCTTGAAGGTCTGTTTGATAGTCCAATTTTTTTCGACCAACTATTGAATTAAGATATTTTTCCTTCTCAATTGCCATAATTTCATTCTGTAAACAATAAGTATTTTAGAAAAATTTAAAAATGTAATTTAGGAAGTTCTACCTGAAGGCAGGCCTCTTTGGCTTTTTGAGTCATGTCGAATTCAATAGCTTGCTTTTTAGGCTTAAGGCCTTGAAAGATATTTCCAAATCTCAACAGCGATAAAACAATTGGAAGGTCTTCTTTTCTTCCTTTAATATTACCGAGAAATCTTGAAATTGCAATGATTAATTTCTGTCTACTTTTGTTAAAAATATTCACCTGAGACAAGTTTGATTTGAAATATCATCAGCCAAATAATGGATAAAAGCAGTCATTCTTTTATTTAACTTTGCTTTTTTTTCCTGGTCATTGCTAAGTAAAAGGAGAAACATCTCTAATTTTGATTTTATCAAATTTGCAAGTCCTCTTTCTTTAGGATTTTTATCGTTATCAGTACAATCAGTGCCCACCAGGTCAACTACATGTAACTATTAGAAGTATTATTGAACGAAAATTGAAGTTAATTTATGTTTCACCCGAGAACTAGTTTTTGGGAGATCGGTCCAGTTCATATTTTGTTGAATAATTTGAAATGTTGCCACTGTGGAAGCCGAATTTGAGTAATATTTGCCATTTCTTTTTATGCAACTTTTACGAGCCTCAGCTTTAATCGTAGGGAAAACGAGAATATATTATCTCAAGTGATGTAAAAATGATTGAAAAGATTACCTATAAATATGCATTTTAGAGCGTCAAACATAGAGGTAATAGGAATTTTTCGTATTTGATCACGAATATGAATATTCATCTTATTTGGGCGATCTTTCAGAAGATCTATGGCGTAATCATTATGAAACTCGACATAAGACACGTACATGAGGATTTTAATGCTTTCAGGTGGCTTAATGTCTATCATTTTTAAAAGATCTTCAGTGATTCGTGGCAGTATTCCAAAATCCTAGAAGTAAATCATGGAAAGAGAAAAAGAAAATGGAGTCTTACCTTTTCTGTGAGATTTAGTCCAGTCGTTGTAAATGTCTTACCAGATCCCTTTTGGCCGAAAACCATGATAAGAGCATTGTTTCCACTTAATACGCTTAAATTTGAATACAATTTGCAAGCTAGAGGCATATTAAAAATTATTGATTTTCTCACTTTTCCAAAACTCCGTCTTTCACAGTATGATAAACTGACTCTTGAGAAATATTCTTAAATATCCCATCGTTTGGAAATACCCAGTAGTTTACTCTTTCCCTCCCAAATTCCCTGTTGTTATCTTCAGGAGGTCTCACGTAAATTATATTATTTTTCAGATCTAATTTGATATTCTCCACATCTACAGTTTCAGTCGGACATATTTTGAAAAATATACGTTTTTTTAAAGACATAGGTACCTACTGCAAGTTTGTTTTCTGAAAAAAAAAGATACTATACTCGCACACGAAAAAGTCAGTGAAAAATGGCTTTAGCCCAATATTTTGCCATAGCTTTGGCATACGATGACAAATGGATATGGTGACAAAAATGACGTCACTTGAATTGACAGCTTGAATTACATTTTGGAGTGTGAGAGAGGGCATGATTTGTTGGCAAAATAGTTATTTATGTACCAAGAGGTTCTCAACGATGGCGTGTTTTTATTCGCGAATCTGGTCAGTAATTCATTTTCTGTTTTGAAACGACATTCTTTTAGGCACTGAGTGCGTGAAAGTTACTTTTAAGCACTCAGTGCGTAAAAGTGACTTTTGAATGCGTAAAAGTGACTTATGAGTGCGTAAAAGTAATTTTTAAGCACTAGTGCCTAAAAGTGTCATTCATTATTCAGAAATAAAAAACACACTAAACACATATTTGAATTTTGTTTTGTATTTATTATGAATATTGAAAATGGAATTACTGAATTGAACGTTTGGGTTACTCAAAACAGAACTTTGTGTTATTACCTACTTTCTAGGATTTTAATTATTGATGTCGAATTTTGAAAAGAAAATCGCATGAAAAGTGTCAGGTGTCAAGTAAAAGCAGGTAACAAAGATTTTGGGTATAATCGACTTATTCACATGAAATAAAATTGTGTTTTTTTATTATAAAATGCCAGTAGAAAAAATCTTGTATACAATACGTTACGAAACGATGTCTTTTAGTCACTCGACGTGTTGTCCAACTCGGCTTTGCCTCGTTGGACAATTTTCACGTCGCGTGCCTAAAAGACGCTCATTTCGTAACTTATTGTATAAATAGCTATTTTGCCTATTTTTGAAGTCAAATATGTCGGAAAGTATAAGAGATATTTGATTGCGGTCTGAAGCATATTGGGGCGCATTATTTGGTGTTCAAGATATATGGTATCGTACTGATATACAGTAACGTTATCTTCAACATACAGGGTGGAAAATAAAACAGTGCAAAGTTTGACAAATTTCAGGGTGTCGCCATTTCTTTTCAAACATACTCCTGCTTTTTTTCTGGGTTCAAGAAGAATCAGTATTTCAATGGTAAAAAACAACTTGAAGGGTTTTTGAATAAATCTCGTAGTTTCGCAAAAATTTCAGTTCAACTGAAAAACGACTTTTATCACTCTGATTCTATGTCTCAGTTACTCAAAACAATTTTTTTGATTATTGTGGGTTCAACGTTTTCGTCTTTTTTGGTTTTGAGAAGATTTTATACAGGGTAAAAAAAAATAAGTTTTTATAACTCATTTTTGGGAGGTCCGTAAAGATAATTGTATGTGGATAATTGGGCCTCAATGTAACTAAAGATAGCACGCGTCGTAACACGTATTCTGAGAGCAAAATATGATTATATTATGTTTCCTAGGTAGAAAAGCTATTCTGTTCTCGAGACGTCGAGATATTTGGTGAATTATTAGCACGTACCATGTCATAAGGGGGCTACTTATATACAGGGGTGGTAAAAAGTACCGGAACCATTGAATCTCTTTAAGCCCACTTATGCTGCTTTCCCAGATTTCATTATCTGGAGGTTTCTGGACAAACAAAATTGGACAATGATGTAGGGTGAAGCTGGTAGATCTGACAGCAGCGCCGATATCATTGAATCATTTAATTTTGTATCTCTGGAAAGAAATGCAGGTTTTCGAAGCGGGCTTGGAAGAGCTTCAACTGTTCTGGTCCTTTTTACCACCCCTGTATAAATAGTCCCCCTGATGACATGGTACGTGCTAATAATTCACCAAATATCTTGGCGTCTCGAGAACAGAATAGCTTTTTCAACCTAGGAAACATAATATAATCATATTTTGCTCTTAGAATGGTTATACAAAAGGCAATTTTTCGCGAGGATAATCAAACATAATCTGATTAGTCTGAGTTATTTGATGCGTCAATTGTGTCATACTTCCCTTAGTCTCTCTCCGTCCAATTTTGGACCTGCGAGTGACGTCACTATCAGCAGCTTATAGTAATGACGTCACCCGCAGACCTCTATGGAATGCTTCCTATTTAGGCTGTGCTAGTGAGTTAATTTTTTCGTCGATTTCAAGGTACGGTTTATAAGGGCATTGCACGGCGCACAACTCACATTCTGTCGAACGCCACGCACGTCTGTTAAAATCAACCGAGTGTAAGTTATATAGACCGGTTTGTTGACTTTGCGCAGGTGAGCGCGACATACAGCTTCAGCAGTGTGTCAGCATCGTGCTGAATAGATTCTGCTGACGTTCACGTTGTGAGTTGTGCATCGCGCACTTTCCTAAGAAACTGAACCTTTAAATGTAGAAAAAGTGATTTTCGGTCTATTCTCACAGAAAAAATTAAGCGTTCTTGATCCTCGAGTATTCCAGAATTTCATGGTGGGGGACTTAGGGAGCATGACACATTTGACACATCATATAATACAGCATAGCATAATCGATTATACTTGATTATCCTCGCGAAAAATAGCCTAATAAAGCAGAGAAAGGTTGGTGAGTACCATATCAATTGACAAAGAGGACTGTGCCCCCTATTAATCTGAGTAGGTACATGTTACGTGTTTGGACGCATACTATCTATAGTTACTCAGATGCGCAATTATCTTCACGGACCATCCAATAATTAGTATTAAAAACTTACTTTTTTTCCACCCTGTATGAAATCTTTTTGAAACAAGAAAAGATGAAAACGTCGAACCAACAATAATGAAGAACATTGTTTCGAATAACTGAGACAAAGAATCAGGATGATGAAAGTTATTTTTCAGTTAAATTGAAATTTCTGCAAAACTACGAGATTTATTCAAAAACCCTTTAAGTTGTTTTTTACCATTGAACTACTGATTCTTCTTGAACCCAGAAAAAAAGCAGGAGTATGTTTGAAAAGAAATGGCGACAAGTAGTACAGCAACACGGGTCCTAGCATCAAAATCCGACCATAACCTCAATCTTTCATTCTTGACACGTGGTGGATGCGCCGCCGTTGACACGAAGGTGGATGCATCGTCGGCGCCATCTTGTCAAACGTCATGGCGCCATCTAGCGTACATAGTGTGAAGTTCGTAATACAGGATACTGTAGTTGGGACCCGCAGGGCTGCGCCCCCCAAAAAAGGGGGCCCGCAGGGCTCCGCCCCCCAAAAAGGGGCCCCCGGATTTTAATATGGGTACCAGAAAAAGGGGTGGGGGGAAATGTTTTCCCGCCATCTTGTCAACCGTCACCTGTCAAACGTCATCTGTCAAACGTCACCTGTCAAACGTCATCTGTCAAACGTCATGACGTCATAGCGGGAGTTTTGAGTCGTTCCGGGTTCTGTGATGACGTCATAGCGACCTGGGTCACGTCCGTGGAGTCATTTAGAGTACATAGTGCAAAGTTTGATTCATGGTTCGGGTTCTGTGATGACGTCATAGCGACCTGGGTCACGTCCGTGGAGTCATTTAGAGTACATAGTGCAAAGTTTGATTCAGGGTTCAGGTTCTGTGATGACGTCATAGCGACCTGGGTCACGTTCGTGGCGCCATTTAGAGTACTTAGTGCGAAGTTCGTTTCATGGTTCTGTGATGACGTCATAGCGACCTGGGTCACGTGGGTTACGTCAGTGCGGGTCCGTGGCGCCATTTAGAGTACATAGTGCAAAGTTCGATTCATGGTTCGGGTTCTGTGATGACGTCATAGCGACCTGGGTCACGTCCGTGGCGCCATTTAGAGTACATGTGTCAAGTTTGATGTGTCTTATGACAGGATGCTGTGGTGGTGACGTAACTATGAGGGTCCAGCAGCTAGCTTCATGTTGTACCTGGTAGAGGGTGTTCGAACTTAAGGATGATACACACCTACAGTATTGCTCATTGACCTCGTGTGTTACCATTTACGACGCCATAACTAAGTCATCAGCTGTTTAAACAACCTACGTCAAGGCGAGAAATAACATGCTGCTTACGTCACAACTGGTGATTTAACGTTGGGGAGAGAGTGGATTTGTTCCACACAGGCCTTATGAGGATAGGCTATCCTGTAGTAGTAGTGTGTATTATCCTTGGTTGGAACCAACGTTTGATGGGAAAGGGGCCTCGTTTTTTTATTAAAAACATACATTTTTTAAGACAACGATTTCAAAAAGCGAATATTTTTCATCAATAAACTGCTTAATATGATCCAATCAGTTTGGTGGTACGTCTTGGGAGCAACAATGCGTTATCGTCAAATTCGACGAGTATTTCAAATCCATAGCTAAAAATATGCCACAATTGTATCGATTACCTAAGTATATAAGATATTTACTTACTAGGTTAAAATAATAATTTCTGTACAATAGTTTTATGATCTACCTTAATTTGTATAGTTTATTGGTTCCAGTAAAGATTTGCAATTATTTTGAGGTCTCTATCGTAGAAAATATTGGGAACTTTCACTTTATACCAGATCTTATAATTTTCTCAGTGTTTTTGATCCTTTGTTATAAAAAGACAGGTCTTGTTGATTGATTTCAAATCCATATCTAAAATATTCATAATTGTATCGATATCAGTATATAAGATATTCACTTACTTGGTTAAAATGATAATTGTTGTGCAATAATTTTATTCTTGTTGACGAGTCTCAAACAAGACTGAAAGAGCTTAATTATTATAAAATCCGATTCACAACAACATAACATACAAAAAACGCTGTCAAAATATTGGGAATTTCACTTTCTAGCAGGCTTCAGGTCTTGTAATTTTCTCAGTGTTTTCAATCCTTTGCTAGGAAAAGACAGGTCTTGTTGTTGATTGATATTAGTATATAAGATATTTACTTACTTGGTTAAAATCAAATTAATTGTTGTGCAATAATTTTATATTTTTCACTGGTGACCAGTTTGAGCGAGACTGAAAGAAGCTTGTTATTATAAAATCCGATTTAAACTTCGAAGTATCACATACAAAAAACACCGCTAAATGCAAACGCTTAATCGGCAGTTTTTTTTTATCTGAATTATATCAGGACCGTTCGCAGAAATCGCCCGAGAAAAACAACAACACATTTTAAAGATAATTTTTTAG